ATGAACAAAATCCACATATTCGGCTTTAAAGTAGTGATAGTCTTACTATAAGAAGAATACAAAATACGGCTTCAGGATTTGCTTTAGGCTATAACGGCCCATTTCTGATTTTTGATTTTCTAGTCCTGTCATTTCCCTGTGATACATGAAGCACTTTCAGCTTTTCTATGTAATCACTTTTTTTCTGATTTGTAGGGGATTTCTCCATGGACAGTCTATAAAAGAGCTGGTTTTATGGGGATGACATGATACACAGTGTGGCCTTTATGGTTGGACAGATTGTATACTATACACTTCACTCCAAATTAAGCCTCTATCTAAGTAAAAAGGATGAGGTTACAGGCACTAGATGTTTGGTGCAGTTCTATATTGGGGCGGGTGTGTGTGTGCGTGTGTGTCTGTGTGTCTGTGTGTGTGGTTGTGTACGTTGTGGGGAAGAGGAGAACAACAGACTGAGGAGGGCGGGTGGAGAGAATGAACTACAGTTTGCCTCAGGCACATGTAATCAAAAGGACTACAGATAAAAACAGACCCAAGAGGCTGGATTAGGGCTTTCTTTAGTGGACAAGACTTCACTGAAAGAGTTAAGTGGAAGATTAAGTCTCTCTGATGGTCAAATTTAGGACTGATAGGGTGAGTGAATGGGTTTTGTCAAGCTCTTGCCAAACTAAATCTGACAGGAGCTTTATGGAATGGAAGGATACACCCAGTTCCTTTTCGCTTGCAAATGCCCTCTCCACTGAAAAAAGCCTAAGATCCACCTGCCACAGGCACACACCAAGAGGAGGAAGGACAGTCAAGGTGGGGGTCTGAACAGAGTTACAGATGGAAACATTAGAAAGCACGCAAAAGACACAGTAGGACAGTCTCAAACACTGAAAGCATAAGTTCCACGTTCCATGGTGCGCCGTGCCAGGTACAATATTCTCTACGTCTTCAACTTTTCACAAGTCCTCCCCTAACCTCAGCTTTGGTAGAAACCCAAGGCCAGCTTTCCCTCAGGACACACCTTACTTCTCTAGCAGCTTCTGATACTCATTTTCTCATATCTTACACAGCAAGGGCAAGGAGAGCCCTCAGAGGGGCTCCTCACGGCCCCTTCCAGGCAAGCAAACCCAATTCCCCACAGAGGCCCTTCCTGACCAGCGCTCATCATCTCTGCCCCACAATCCCACTTTCATCCATCATTTCTTCTCCCAGGAAGTGACACTCTGAGAGATGTGTTAGATAACCCCTGATCTAATACCACCTGCCTCCAGGTGGTCACAAAGTCCTAGAAGAAGTCTACCCTCCACCCCATCTCTGGAATACTTTCCAGTTCTCTTTTATTAACTGTCAGAGACCAGGTCCTTTGGGTCTTACACTTAGACCAGGATGGGAAGAGCTTTGGTACCTCCGCACACTAGACCCTTTTCCAGGCCATAACCACCTTCTAACTGCTGAGGCTTTGCTTGGTCAGTGTTCCACCAAATGAAAAGTGGAGAAAAAATGCTGTGGATGTTGTCTTTTCAGCCAATGAGCCCTGAGGACCTACAATTAACTGAGTCAGTGTTTTTGACTGTCCTAATGTCAATGACTAAATCAACCACAGTAGACAGATAAGACCAAGAGGACAACAAGAAAAATCAGGTTATTAGGAATGTCCAGAGTTCTATACTCAACTACCAAACCACTATGGAATAAGCATAGAACTTCAATGCTGTTAAAATGCTCTGGCCTTTCCTCATCCAGACAAAAATAAGACTGAGTCTGCTAGCAGCTTCCCATGAGCTGGTGCCAATAATAAGTGATGGAATGATATTATAAATGTGCCAGTGTTCTAGAAATGTAATATTGGCCAACTTCAAAAAAACTGTAAAACAAGCTTTCTGGACCCCGTCAGAGCTTCAAAATGAGAATATAATTTCCAAAAAGATTTTTCCTTGGGCCCCATCTAAGGAAGAAAACATGTAACTCAACATCCCGGAAAATGACCAAGAGATCCACTGAAGGCAAACTGGAGCAAGTAGATTCAGCTCTGAGGTACAAAAGCCAGCAGCAAGAATGTGATTTTCATGGCGCACAAGGACAGTATGCCCAAGCCAGTACTGAGAAGACATTCCAGGAAAAGAGCAGAGACCAGGAGAAGGGCTCTGAGCAGTCCCTGTTTCTATGCAGTGTCGGCAGGACACTCAGGAAAGAACTGGTCTCAGGCTAAAATAGTCATCAGTTAACCAATAGCTCAGACTTTTAAAAAGAGGGATTAATAAAACTGTAATTATTGAGCATTTTCTATTAAAAAAGCAGTGGCACCAGATTAACACCACCAACTATCCTCTAAAGGTGAAATATTTAGTCAACCAATCAGTTGTGGTAATTAGCCAAATGCCAAGCAAAACTGGCTGACAAATGCTTTCTCTGAATCAGCTTCTTTAACTTTCTGGCTCTGCACATGTATGAACAGTTAGAATGAATTTCACAGATCCAAGTTTACACCAAACACTCAACTTAAACTTAAATGAAAAAGTTGTTATCTTCCCTGATTTGTAAAACAAAAAGATTTAAGAAGCATCTCAATGCAAAAAGTCAAATATAAGAACTCAAGTATAAAGCAGTCCGATTAAAAAGAACTCATCAAAGAACCCAGTCCTGGGCCTTAAATCAAAGGAAAAGCAAATCTAATGGACCAGAAAGTCAGGACATTAAAAAAAAATCAATTATTAGCTAAATCTTCAAATCCACAAGAGAATTTTATCATTTGTTCACCTAAACCACTGAAGTGGTTTCTAAAGTCTGTCTCCTGACAAGACCACAAGTGCCCTAATCGATCATATGTCAATCAACACCAAATACTGACCCACACCCACATATATGACAAAGTTCTCATGATACAGAAAGGAAAAAAAAAAAAACCTTACTTAAAATCTAAACGTTTTTGAAGTAATTCATACTCTGTATTTGGTCCACCCCAGTATTCGCTTGACAACTACAAAGGTAAGGTATTTAGGTTACTAATAGTATCTCACTTTTCTGGAATGAAAAAAGGTGGGGGGGAGGGGAGGAATACACATGTTTTAGGTTATTTACTTCATTTTAATTCCCAGGTAGGAAGGAATTACACAGAGATTGTCTAGAAAGAACCCAAGAGTTCTACCTTGCCAACTTGATACTTCTTTCACCTCTCAAGACCTGACCTTCTTTCTATAGCAAGTCATTGTACATTACAGTAAAGTCTGGAGCAAAACCCTCAGACAGAAACAATGAGAGAAAAGACAGCTGAATGGTGTGCCAGGATCATGGTGTGGACAAGCTGCCCCCAGGGCCCACTTGGAGAGCAGCATTTGGTCGCCAACCCTGTGCATCTCAAAGAAATATTTTGAAGAGGAGGAAAGAAAAGGAACTGAAATATTTTACAAATAACATCTACTCTCAACCCTGACCTTACATTAATCTATTTGCATCTTTGAATAGAGGAAAAGAAAAGAAATAGAAAAGAGGGGCGGGAAGAAGAGAAAAAGACAAGAATGAAGACAGTACAACCCAAAACACTGGTTAAAGGCTCTGGATTCAGATTGATCTGGGTGTGAAGCCCAGCTCTGCAGCTTAACGACTTCATGTTAGATGTTGGCCAATCTGCTTAATAATCATGAGCCTTTGTTTTCTCATCTGTAAAGTGGGTAGTTGTGAGGAATAAACAAAGCATGTAAAGCACTTAGCATGGTGCCTGACACAGAGGAGGTAGGTGGTCAATATAAAGTAGTTGAAGAAATAAAGAGGGGTGGGAAGGGGAGGAGAGGGATGAGACTTTCGGAGAAAAAAATCTCAAGGGTTCAAGAAGAGTCTAAACTCAGAACAAATGTCCCAGCCTCTTTACAGTCAATCTGAAAATATTTCTTGGTCACCTACTACATAATTAGCACTGTGCTTTGTTCAGAAATGAAATATCCTCCTCCTCACTCTTGAGGTGCATGCAATCCAGCTCAAGAAACAGAAATCACACATGAAATATGTAAAAAAAAAAATAAAAAAATAAAAACAAAAACAAACCCCTAAGTTGCCCTAAACTGTTAAATATTCTACGTGTAGTAATGCAACTGCTTCAGTGATTTGGAGAAGGGGCCTGTGAGGGTTACTTGTGGGGGATGGTTTCAGGGACAGGGGCAGTACAGGCATGAACGGGCACTTAGGTGAAGCAGGGGGCGTGTCAGGTGAAGAAAAAGAAGATGTGCCCCAGCTGGAGTTTTGCCATAGAAGCAGCGGGGATATGAGCAGGGACTTAAAGAGTGACCAGAGACTGGACGAGGGAGGGGACAGCCAGGAAAGCAGTGAGTATGGGAGCTATTTGAAGCAAAAATGGGCTGGACTTCAGAAATGAATATGAAAAATAAAAAAGAGGGATCTGCCTGACTCTCTTTCAGATTTCTTGTTTTTGTTTGAGGCCAAGTGCCTTCTTTCTACCTTCCTGGTATATCTTAGGAGGAAATAAAATCATACTCTTTTATCTCCCTAGATAGAGTCAGCATCACCCTTCTTGATAACCAGGCTGCCCAGGGCAGGGTTTACAAATGTGGGCTCGGCTGGGTCCGTAACCCAGCTCTGCCACTTACCAGCTGTGCGACCTCAGACTAGCAAACCAACCTTCCCGGCTTCATTCTCCTTCTCTGTAAAAGGGGGTAATTATAATACCCACTCTCAGACTGTCGAGAGGATAAGCAAATCAATACATTTAATAAATGCCTTAATTGAGAAGTGCTTAGAAGAGTACCTGGCACATAGGAACAATCGACAAAAGTGACCTATTGTTATTATTATTGTTGTTGTTATACATATTACTTTTCATCTTTAGCTAGAACATAGCCATAGAAAGCTCAAAGAATCATCTCACACATCACTAAAGACGGGGTACCAAGGGGAAACCCATCTTGGAATTGCAAGTTCTCCCAAAACTACAGCCAACAGTGAAAACCCCAATGCAAGAGACCTAGCCAATCCAGTGTCACACAGAGGATTTGAGCCCATACCTGGCTTGGTGAATGGCCTCCATCCACTCTTTACCATCCTGCTCCTCTTCACAGCGCAGCTCCAGAGGTTTCTGACCTTCATGGCCAAAAAGAACAGTAAAGTAATACTAGAGAGAAAAACAAACAAAGTTTAGTTTTATTTTTCAAGCATGACCGCATAGTATAGTATTTCCCTACAAAGGGTATATGTTTAAAAAATGAATCAGCACTACATAAATCATATTTCAAAATGTAGTATCACTCCCATTCCACTTGGCAATGACTTTGCACCTAGAAGATACAATAGGTTTCATCTTAACACCCTTCTGTAAGAGTCAGCCCACAACACCTCAGTAGATACAGAAAAGATATTCGATTAAGACTCTACACACATGATTAAAATTACTTACTGAAATTTCTAAACCTAATAAAGGATATCTAAAAAAATTTACTATATTTTACCTATTGGTGTACTATTACAAGCAACCCTTCTGGGGCGCCTGGGTGGCTCAGTCATTAAGTGTCTGCCTTTGGCTCAGGTCATGATCCCAGGGTCCTGAGATCAAGTCCCACATCGGGCTCCCTGCTCAAAGTCCGCTTCTTCCTCTGCCCCTCCCCCCTGCTTGTGTGTGTGTGTGTGTGTGTGTGTGTGTGTGTGTTCTCTCTCTCTCTCAAATAAATAATTTTATATAAAAAAAAAACAAGCAACCCTTCTAAAATCAAAAATAAGAAAAAGATGGTAGTTATTGACACTTCTATTTACTAATTCTGCCTGGAGGGCAATATAGAAAAATAAAGGAAAAAAGGCACAAGAAATGGAAAGCAAGGGAAAAAAATCATTTTCACAGCTGATGTAATTGTCTATATTAAAAGCTCATTGAAAAACTATTAGAATAAGAACACTGAACAAAATAGTTAAGTGCAAAATCAATACACAAAAATTTATTGCCCTTTGGTATAATATCGACAAACACAAAGCTTAATTTTGAAAACACAGCATTTGCAATAACAAATACGAGTAACTGAAGACTAAGTCTAAGAAAATGTGTTTATCACCTCTAAGAAGTAAATTAATCTATAATTTCAATGTATTCCAATAAAAATATCAGGAGTTTTTATTTTTGGTAGAATGTGACAAACTGAATCTGAAATCTGTGCCAGGGGAGAAGCGTTCACTTTAAACCAGTCTATTTGAGGCCAGACATATTAATTACCAAACTGAGACTGTCTGGAAAGGAAATGTGACTGGAGAGCTTTTTATTATACGAAAATGATCAGAAAATACACTGGACCTGCCCAGGACGTCTTCCTGGGGCATAAAAAGAACCAGGCCACAGAGCTGCTCTAAGGGAGAGCCAAAGCCAAACACAGAGCTCCTTCTGTCATCCCACGTTCCCACCCACCCCCATCCCCAAGCTTTTGTTTATTCAATGTGACAGTTATGTACTCATTTTCTTCAAACGAATTAAAAACCTTCAGGACAATAATCCTAGAGATAAGAATTTCCAGCATAAGGGAAAAGAGAGAGAGAGAGAGAGAGAGAAAGCAAGAAACAGTCTCTTAATTACAGTGAACAAGCTGATGGTGACCAGAGGGGAGGTGGGTGGGAGGATGGGGGAAATAGAGGATGGGGATGAAGGAGGGCACTTGCTGTGATGAGCACAGGGTGATGTATGGAAGTGTTGAATCACTCTATTGTACACCTGAAACGAATATAACACTGTATGTTAACTAACTGGAATTAAAATAAAAACTTAAGAAAAAAAAGAATTTTCAGCACAATATCACCCAAAAGAAGAAAACTGGCTAAGAGACTTCTCGGGTTACCTGTACGTAAATCACCAGTCCAGTGAGGACTCTGAGTCATGCCTGCGCAGTAATCCACCACACTTCCCACGGACTGTGCTAAGCCCCGTAAATGGCAAGCTGTCTTTAGTTCTTAAACCTCTTGTCCAGCCAGAGGACTAAATGCTAGGAGCCAGGGGGGAAATAACCTGATGAAAAGGCCACAGAGAGTGAGAAGAATTGAGTTTAGCACTGTATTCAATAAAGCTCCATTTAAATTTGAGAGGAAAAAATCGAAACTCGGTAATATAACAAATCAGTGTCTTAAAGGTCAATCCTGTAAGTGATGGCATTTCAGTAACTGCTGGCTACTGTCCAAGCTCAGCTGTCCAGACCAGGGAGAGGAAACGCTTAACGAACTGGCCCAATCTATTGAAAGACTGCAACCAGCATCTCGACAGCAACTGCTACTCTGAAACCCAATTAAAAGCCACCTTTCAAAGACAGCAAGGCAATTATATTAGCAGAGGACATCCAAAGGTTAGACCATGTGTCAGGCATAATGATGATGGTTTTGAGAAGTACATGTTATATTTCTAGGAGTTCACTTAACAAATTCAGCTCAACTACAAAAAATTAAACAGTGCCTCTGCATGTACCTGCAAATTATTCATTTTTAACCACTCATCAAAGTTTTCTTTGTGTAGAATATTCTGGCCTCATTCTGATATGAACTTGGTATACCATGGATCTATGTGTCAGGCCTGGCACTTTAAAGGTCCCCTTGGGGATCAGAAGTAGCAGCAGATACCCTTAACAGTACCCTGTGACCTCAGAGCTGTCTGGTGCAGGAACCTGGAGGAGAGGTTCCAAAGTACTGGGTCACTGTGAAAGGCAAGGAAGAATTGAAACAGTGATGACCTTGTTTATGTTTTTAAATTTAGCATCTACAATGACAGTGAGTTTCTCTTCCTTTTCTTCTTAGATATTCTCACCTGTTTCCCAAACCCATTTCTCCAGGCAGATTCTCTCCCAGGTGCCAGCCCCATATTTCTCCTATTAGACAGCATTTCAGTCAGATCCAAAACTGAATTCATTGCCCTCCCTCTCTTCTTCCCATCCCCCAAACCTCCTCCTCCTCCCCTCTGCCCTCACAACTATTCCTTCTCCTCTTGTGTTTTCTCTGTCAAGTGAATCTTTATTCAATGGTTGCCCCAACTAGGAACCACAAAGTCATCTTCAACTTCTCCGTCTCATCACTCCCACATTTGGTTTCACTAAGGCTCGCTCGTAGGACTCTCTTCTGGCTTTTATTATCCCTCACTTAGACTACTGTAGCAGCTCTACCATCAGGTGACAAATACGACAGCTTTGAAATTCATTTGAAATTCCTTTATCTAAAGCTGACCTCCCTCCTTCCTTGTATCCTGGCCACTATGACAGCGCAAAGTGGAAGGTTAAAGGCACTTCCCGAAGGAAGACAGAATGACCTAGAGAAGTCCCGATGAGGTGGGGACACAAGGAGAAGTGTGGAGAGAAGAAGTGGTCAAGGTAAATAGAGAAATCGGGAGACGAGACACACATGGTACAGCTTCTCCCCACTCAGGGCTAAAATCCCAGAAGAGGGCAAGGAGTTAAAAGAGTTGATAACAAAAACCAAAGGCCAAGGAGTTTCTGTATCACTTTCCCTTTAGGGATCTAGAGGATGCGACCTCACAGAACGTCTTCATGCCCCGCCCCCCACTCTCAAGACAAAATGGGGTGGTGACTGCATATAGGTGATGACCATACCCCATAAATCAGCAAATCTGGTGTCACAGCAGTTGCGTGTTTAAAAAAAAAGGGGGGGGGCGCCTGGGTGGCTCAGTCGGTTAAGCGACTGCCTTCGGCTCAGGTCGCGATCCTGGAGTCCCCCGATCGAGTCCCGCATCGGGCTCCCTGCTCGGCAGGGAGTCTGCTTCTCCCTCTGACCCTCCCCCATCTCATGCTCTATCTCATTCTCTCTCTCAAATAAATAAATAAAATCTTTAAGAAAGGAAAAAAAAAAAAAGGCCCAAGTTTTGAGGTTTGCTGTCCAAAGCCTGACTAGCTTCTAAGCAGTGTGGACAGTCCCAAGGACACTGTGGAGGACCACGGAGGGAAGGGCATTATCAAAACTTCCTGTGGGATAAGGTAAGGGGTATAAAGGCCGAGCAAGAGCCACGGTGGGACCACTTAGGCAATACGGACAACCAGGCCCTGACTGACCTGGGAGAAAACAGACTGCAAGTTAGAGCAGCCATGAACTTCAGCAACGGCTGCCAACAGGTGGCCCAGGCAGAGCGGGAACACCTCCAGACCACAGTCGGCATCAGCAAGGGCTGCCCCGACCTGTGACTCACACACACACACACACACACACACACACGCGCCCTCAAGGCCATGTGAGACTCCCATTTACTGAGACGCCATCTCAGTGGGGTGCAGAGAGAAAAACGAATTACGAAAAGAGATTTTCCACATTACTGGAGCAGACTGAGTTTCCTACTCTCAACGAAATGTAGCTTCTTTTTTCTCCACTTATTAAGTGGAGAGGCGGTCTTAAGGAGAAGGTCGGGTCAAATTTAGAAAAATATTTTCTTTGCACATCTAAGTGTAGTGCAGATCAATCTGCAACCCCAATTCCAGTCTTATCCAACTCCCTCCATCCAAAACACGGTGGCCAGAATCTTTCTAAAAGATAAATCAAGCTTCCCATGTCTGCTTACAAACCCTTACTGGTGTTCTCAAACACTAAGAGCCAATCTTCTGCAGGCTGAAAATGCCCTTCCCTAATCGGTTCCATTCTCCATCTTTCACCTTGCTTCTGTCTGTTTCCTTCACGGCATGCCACGCCCCGGCCACACCGAGGGATCGCTCCCACCAGAAGACAAGCTCTTTCCTCAGCCTCACCTTACTGACAGAATTCCGGGTGTGAATCCTGACTCCCCAGGTGGTAATTCAAGAACTTGGGCAAGTCACACAACTCTCCTGAGCCTGAGTTTCCTCGGCAGACGATGGCGTAGACCTGACAGGATCAAACGAGCTGACGCGCAGTGTCTGGCACAGTAGGCGCTTCGCAAGTGTTCATTCCTCTCTCTCAGCGTATCTTTGTCTTGACGCACCTCGTTTCTTCTTTCCTCCCCAGCCTCTTCTCCACCTACAGGTTCTTACCAAACTTTCATGACTCATGTCACCGAAATGTCAGTCCTCTAAGAATCCTTCCCCGGTATCTTCTGGCAAGAAGGAGTCACTCTGTCCTCTGGGCTTCAGTAACACCGTGTACCCTCTCACATCACCTTCGAGTTGTCCTCCTGTGTGTCTC